AGGTGTCCAGGAACAAGGTGAGGTGGCAGATCCAATACCACCGCCTCCGCAGGCGGCTGAAAAGACGTTCTACAACCGCCACGTCCATCAACTCCCCCATTCGCACGTCCTCCATCCAAGCGCTCACCTGGTCCCCGAGGTCCCCCTTCAGGTCCAGCAAACCCTGCTGCAGCGTCAGTATACCAGGACGTCCTTCGCTCGGGTGCATCATCTCGTCCTCCTCCAGGCCCTCCTTGCTCACCTCGCCCTCTATCTCCGCGTGCGCCCCTTGCCACGCTTGCTCGGCCCCACGGTCTAGCTCGTCCCTGATCTCCTCCACGCTTGACTTCGTCGCGACCGCTCCGAAGCCCTCGTCGCTCGCGTCGGTCATGTAGACTGTCGTGTGCCAGTCCAGCTCCAGGCTCGCCTCGAAGAAGATAGCCAGCGATGACAGGGCCTCCAACTCCCCCAACACGGGGGCAGGGAGGCGCTGCGGCTTCTCGGCCTCATCGCCCGCAAAAGCCCCGACCCATCGGTAGCAGGCGTCCAGGATCGCAAAGGCAGGCCGACAAACCAGCATCGCCCACGCCCAGCAGCCCACCACCGTGGCCAGCTCCCGAGGTCTCACGGACCGGGTCACCACAATTGCTTCGGTGCAGATGATCAGGTCCTTCATCTTCTCGGGGTAGACCTTCAACGTATAGGGCCGTCCAGATATGGTAAGCCCAAGCCCGCGTCGCAGTCCTTCCCCAGCCTCCTCCTTGTGCACGGCGAGCCCCGTCGCGTTCAGATAGCTCCGCACGTGGCCCTTTTGTGACCTCGAGGTCCACGTCCTCCCCATCCTTCACCAGCTTCAAGCCGATGTAGTCGTCGATGTACAGTAAAAGGAGAAGCTCGGCCTTGGCGAAACTCGGACACGCCCTGCCCAAGGTGATCTGCTCCGTGACCAATCCCTCCATAGACTCGAAGCAGTCCACAAGTGCCGAGTGGGCCAAGAAGACCGCCCAGGCAGCCCCCATCACGGGCGCCACTGACCCCACGCCCGCGGCACCCGCAGGCGGGGCTGGCAGCTCCACCCCCGCATCCTTCGCGAAGGCGTGGAGCTCCTCGGGCACGACCCCCTCCAGCGTGAAGTACTCCGCTAGCCCGTCCGACCACCTCAACCTGTAGAACCAGTCGGGCACGTCCCCCTGGAAACTGCCCAGCACACGATCCTTCAAGATGTCGTTCGTCAGCTCCAACCCGGACAGGGCAGAGGGTGACCCCAGTGGGGTCCACGGTGGTCGCCGAAAAAGCAGATTCACCTTCCGCGCGTCCCAGATGAGGCGGGACTTGATCACGTCCCGCCCGCCCTCGCTCACGTCCTTGGCCACACAGAAAAGGCCCACGGCATGCTTCACCTCCTTGACGTACTGGACCATTCCTGCCCGCATCATCCTCATGGCCACGGTGAGCCTGGTGTGACGATCCTTCCAACCTGGATCGGAGTAGCTCTTGATACCATCGTATCTCCCCCAGCCCACCTCCTTCGGACCCTCCAGCATCCGACTCTCGAAACGCTCTAGGTATGGCGCCGCGGCGGTCGAGAGGTCCGTCAGAGACAGGCCCGCGGCCCCTGGAGGCGGCAGCGAGACCTGGTCCGCCACCACCCTGCAGAGGTCGCCCTTCATGATAAACGTGGTAGTAGATGTAGTCCGCTTGTGGCCGCATCCTCCACCCACTGCGTAGCCCGAGCTGTCGGACCCCCGCAGACGGCGAAGCACCGCCTTGCCGTCGTTGATGCCCCCCCACGCCCCGAGAGAGGCGCGACGATCCCAGATGTCGTAGACCACCTTGCGTTGGAGCCCCGTCGCGCCCCCCCACGAGCTCGGGACAGTCGACCCATCGTCTGCCCCAACACGCCCCGCCGCCAGCGACCGTAGAGCCCGAACCGTCCGACAAGTGCGCAGCCAGGTTAGCCTCAGCTGCTCCGTCGTAAAGCCTGAACTCGCAGCTCGCGTGGCCAAGGGCCCCGTAGGAGAAGGCAAACTCCGAAGAGGGTCCCGCTCCCTGAAGTCCATCATCATCAGGCCGCCGCAAAGAAAGCACCTGCTCACGTGGAGCACGACGAAGGTTGAGCGCACTGGTGCGGTTCAGGTCCGAGATATAGAAGACACGGCCTGAACAAAAGAGGCCCCGCCCTCCAGCGCACACCGGTTGGGCGAGGGTCAGCACGGCGAGCCCGAGGAAGCCCCCCTTCTGCTCCACCCTCGACCTGACGATCTCCCCGCTGACGAAGCCCACGCAGCACAGATCCACAGGAGTGAGCACAGCAGCGCGAGACTTCCCAAGGGTCGCCACTCCAAAACGAACCCTCGGGCCACCCCTATTCATCGTCCCTGGGCGCTGCGTCCCGCACCGACGTCAAGTGCTTCTGGATCTGCGCCCTCTTCCGCAACTTGTCCGTCACCTCCTCGTCCGCGAGAGCGTCCTCGATGGTGTCGTGAGATGTCAGCCTCAAGTACTCCTCACCCAGCGACCAGTCGACCTTGGACTTCCACTTTGCCCCGCTAGCATTGCGAGGCCTTTTCCAGTCATGTTCGCACGTCACGCCCTCGTAGGCCTTCATGATCGCATACATCCTGAGGCAACTCAGCCCGCTGGCATGGGAGTTGATCAAGCCCTTGAAGTCGCCTGAGACCATCATGCGGTCCAACGTCATGGCCAGCACCAGCATCTCGTTGGCGATGGGAGCTTTTGAAAGCTCCTCGCTCCTCAGCCACTCCTGAACCTCGAGCTTCGCGGACCGCCCCCCCCCCCCCCCCTTCTAGATCTTGCTCAGCACCGTCGGGGCCACCCGCGTCCTGATACCCCCCACACGCATGTTGGGGACGTGCTCGTAGCTCTTCAAGGTCTGCAGGAGGGCGCCCCTAGGATTCTTACTCTCCATCTCCAGCTGAGCGATCGTGTCCATGGCAGCCGCTCCCAGTCCGAGTCCGAGGCGGACTTGCCAGCCTCACGCCCACTGCCTCCCGCACCACGGTCCGAGTCGCTCTTCACCAACTCTTCATGCTCATTCAACTTGGCAATGAACTGGTCCAGCTGCGCAGTCGTCGGAGTAGCCTCCTCGGCGGACCCGACGTGACCCCCCGTAGTCTTGCTCGGAGGCTTCGCCCTGTCCTTCTTCAGCGCCTCCGTGACCGCCATCAGCCCAGCCCGTAGTTCTGCTTGTCCACGCTGCAGCTCCGCATAGAGACCCTTAGCGTCGGGCTCGTCGTCTGAGTCGGGCACCGCGGTGCCCATGCTCAGCCCCCCGTCGGACACGTCGGACTCGGAGCCGGAGTCTGAGAGGCCCTGCCATTGGCGGAAGACGTAGTTCAGCAAGAACACCCCGAAGATCACGCCTCCGCCCGCCATGAGCACGGCCTCCAACTTCCCCGACTCCCAGGCCTCCAGCAGGAGGCCCCCGTAGTCGGACACCTCCTCCGCCGTCTCCTTCGCGGCCGCTGCCGCCTCGAACACCCTGTGGAAGAGAGGGCCCAGGTGGAAATACCTCCAGATAAGCCAGGCGGCGAAAGCACCCCCAGCGAGCCCACCCCACGAGCGATGAAGCCACCCGTAGCAGACCAGGTTCGAGCACATAGCCCACACCCAGTTCACCAGGCCCGCCTTCTTCGAGGTCTTCCGCTTCCCGCCCAGCTTCCAGAAGCCTTTCTTCTTGTCGGCGGCCTTGGCCACCTTGACGTTCTCGGCGTCCAGCTCCTTCCGTGAGGCCGCCAGCACCATGTCCCGAGTCTTGTCGTTCAGCCCTGGGAAAGCCGTCCACTGGCTGATGCCGCGTGGCGGTTTGCTGTGCACCGATTGTTTATCCTTCAAGCATATGATCTGCACACTGAGCGACGGGTCCACACACGTCCACGGTTGGTCGCTGGCCTTCCCCACCCGCTCGACCAACAGCATGACCACGCCCGCACTCTGCCCCTTGGGCAGGTAGTAGATCCTGTTCCACTGCGCCCAGCCCCCCATGACGAGCGGGCTGCTCCCGACGATCTTGGTCTCCTCCGCATCGTCGATGAGCTCGACCTCCTCGACTGAGGCGGGGCCCTCCGCCTCAGTCTCCTCGACGTCGTCCTCGCGCTCGCTCTCGAAGCGCAGGCCGAGGAAATCCAGGACCTGGTCCTGGTTGAACCTGCTCCCCACGGCCAGGGCCTCCTCCTGGAGGTCGCCCGAGAGGCCCAGGAGCGCCAGCAGCGCGCCCGCGAGCGCGCAAGGCCGCGGAATGGCGCCGCGGTGGGAGGCCGTGCCCAGGCACGACCGCAGAGGGGCCCGCCTGCGGGCCTCGCCCGTGCCGACTTGAGCCCAGAGGGGCAGAGAGGGACGGAGGGGGAAAGGGCCGCTAACAGACTACGACGGGTAGTGCAAAATAAAATTCAAGAACAACTATTCAAGCCTTTCTTCTGTGATGCTGGTCCCGCTCAATGCTGACCACAATCTCCCGAGTTGCCACCCCTTTCGGCGGGACTGCTGCCTGGCGAGTTCGCCCGTGCCGCGTTTCTCGAGACACGATATCTGTTTTCAAAAAGTTGTGAAGGATGGGGCTTCGCAGACAAATCCATGATTTTTGCCTTTTGGCACGCCTCTTGGAAGCCTCGAGGAACATGTTGGGGGCATCGATTTCCATCGTGAGGCCATCTTGGTCCGCCTTGGGACGCTGTTGGCTTCTGGCCGTACGGCCTGCCACCCATTTGTCGACTCATTGGGCCATTCCTGGACGGTTCCAGAGGCCCCCAGGCCCGCGCCCAAGAGATCCGAAATCTCTGACCCGGACTTGCAGGGAGTTGCCCGGGGTATTTTACGTTCCAGGACCCCCAGTGGCCGCCACGCGCGCGCGAGCTAGAATATTGTTAATTTGTCACCGGAGATTTTAGCACGCCTCTGGTCCATTGGGCCGGCGAATTGTTTGATGGCTCCTCCTCATATTCCGTTTCCTCCCTCGTCCATCTCGGTGCCGTCCGCCTCCACGTTTGACGTGATTCATGCAGGATTTCTACGTGGAGTACGAGCATTGCGGGGCACCTCATCGATTCGAGGCCGACTGGGCCCAGGGAGGATCATTTGCGTTGGCAGGGACTCGCATCAGCAGGGCACTGACGATAAACCAGGAACTCTCATCCTGGCCCTGTCCACGTTTGCCCACTTGTCGTCAACTCTTTGTCGTCGTGCTGGCTAGTGTCGGCAGTGGTGCCACACCGCCATCTGTTGTCGACGCTAACAGGTCAGCGACAGTCGCTCGTGGCCAGCTGCGGTGGCCCACATTGCGATCTTATCCCCACACAGCTCGAACAATCGATAAGATGGTATCCAGGAGAGCGCGGGGCGGGATGTTGGTCTTCATTGCGCATAGGCAGGGGAAGAATCTGATCAGTCTCTCTGGAGCGCTTGTAGGTGGGAGAGGGGAGGGGAACATGCTGCTGAGCGCCGGAGCTGCTGATTTTGGAGTGAACAATGTATTGGCGCGAACCCTCGCGGGGGCGTGGACCGCCTCGCATAGAACGCGCGAAGGCCAACTCAAGCCAAGTTGCTTCGGATGCCGTGATACACAGTGTCCCACTACGCGCAGTGCAATGTACTTCCGCCACAACCCAGACATCTGCCACGAGTTGTGATGGGTCCCTTGCATCGACCACAACAGGAGTGGAATTCGGCACGGGCTAGCCAGTTATACATACATTCAGACAAATAAATGATGTATTGCTTAATTAGTTGATTAATAAATTGATTGATCAGCTAATTGATCATTTAATCAACCAAATAAAAAACACGTCATTTACCATACCATCGAACATCGACATTGGTCTATGGGCATCGCAGCGCGCCTGGGCCAATGCAGCTCCTTGTGTTGCAGCGTTTCTGGCCGCCAAGTGAGATCTGTCGACCTGCTCTACTCAACGTCCGCTGACTCCCTTGGGCGCTAGCTTCGGCACGCTCACCGCAAAGTTTGCAGCGGTGACGCCGCAATTCGCAGACATGAGCGCCAAGCTCACCGAGCTCGTGGCCCAGGGATTGTCCGTGCAGATCACCGCAGCGGTTTTCCGCTACGCCACCACGGGTTGCCCTCAGCACATGCTACGGCTGTGTGTTGGAAATACGTTCTTCATTTGGAGCCTTGCTTCGCAGTGTTCGACATCGGCATTCACAGCGCATCAGTGCAATCCTCCCGTCGGTTGTTTCAAATAGACGCCGAAGTCGTCACGACACGAGCCTGCCGCACGCCCCAAGAGGCACGTGTCGAACACGACCGAATACTCACGACACGCCACCAACACACACACACACACACACACTTGTTGGAGGGACACACGCACTAGGGAGCGCCCCGAGGGGCGCCTCGAAGGACTCCCAATCCTCGTTCTCTTGGCTCCTAGCGCGCGCTACCGCGCCCGCGCCAGCAAGCGGGCCGACGGGGCCCGGGACCATTCCCGGTTGACAGCAGGAAGTCCGCGCGCGCAGAGGGTGCCCGAAGCCGTTGGAGTGGCATGGAGGAGGAGCCAGGAGAGTGACAGGGGGTGGCGAGGTCGAGCGTTCGCAAAGAATTCACGGAACGATTAGCGTGAGTGGTTCGCGGCGGAGGGAGCCAGCAGAGGATGGTGGCGCGACGTGTCGTGCGCATTCTTTGCGGGGTTGGCAACGGCATCATCCGCATCGGCCACGACGGTGTCGGCGACCGCTGGAGAAGCGGTCGCCGCGGGGACGGGTTGCCGCGGGTAAGCAGCGAGTGTCTGAGCAGCAACGGCGGCGAACGGCGACTTGTCGAACTCCTATGGCCATCGGATTTGCGCCATGGAGAGGCGCGAGCGAAAAGACGTCTGTTCCCAATAGAGCGGAACCACACTTCTGCTTCAGCCATCAAGCCGTTTGCGCCCGCTCGGCACGTGCTCTGTGAATTGACGTCTGTAGCGCACTCTTGTTGGCTGACGCCTCGTACAGAAAACATAAACTACCCAAAGCAGATGTTGGTGCTCTACAGCCACCGCCGCGAGCTGAAAGGCGGCCTTCATTGACGGCAGCGCTCCCAGCAGCGCTGAAAGCGAGAAAGTGTCATGCATGCACCTTCAGAGCCAACCCAGTCTTCCAGCCAACGAGATTGCCAGCGCGTGGTCTGTCCATCACGAACCCATGGAAATGCCGCCTTGCCTCAGAAGCACCGACCTCCAGAAGGCATGTATCACTGTGAATCGTATGCCGAACAAGTGCTCGTACCCTGTAAACACAACCTGCTGCATGCTTCTAAACAAGCATCCCCCATTCCACCCCACCCGACGGCTCGTTGCCGACCCCCACGCTTGCCGAACCCACCCCACCAAGAGATCTGACCCCCCCCCACACGCCCCGCGAAGGACAACCAACTCCTACACCCCCACGCAGGGCCGATGTCGATTTCCCGACGATCCGATGCGGTCCGATGTTTGCACAGCGTAGCTGCGAATCCCGGCGCAACAGATCCGATTCGATCCAGATGTTTTGCCGATGCGGCCAGATTCGATGGTTGTTCCGATCTAATCCGATTTCCCGATTCGATATTACACACACACACACATTCACACCCGCGTGCGCGTTTTGGCCATCGCGGCCTCGCGAGCAGCGCCGAGGCGGAGAAAGGTCGAATATGCACACACGCACACACACACACACACACACACACACACGCACACACACACACACACACACACGCACACACACACTTACCCATGTTGATCGAACAGCTCGGAGCACGCGCAGGGCCAACGGGGCAGGGCCGCCACTCGCGGCCGTGCGAGCAGCACCGGCGGGAGCAGGTGCAGAGAGCTGAAAGGGGACAAGCGGGAGGAGGCCCGAGAGGGCCAAGAGGAGGGCGGAACAGGAGGAGGTGGAGGAGAAGGAGGAGGGAGTGAGCGAGGACTGGGAGGAGGCGGAGGAGGAGCGAGAGGCGGGACAGCGCGTGGGAGGGGGGAGGACGGGGGGGACGGGAGGCAGACGTAGCTGTGGACACAGGAGAATCGGGCGACGAGATCTATACATACCCGCCAATCTTGGGCCCAGGATCGGTGTATATGCATCCCTGGTCAGGGACGGTGGGTATGTACAGATCCCGTCGCCTTAGAGGAGTAGTAGGAGGCGGAGGACAAGAATAAGAAGAAGGAGAAGGAGAAGAAGCAGAGTACACGGAGGAGTCGAAGAGTAGATGATTCTCGAATTTCGAACCTCGATCCTCGAAGCCCATCCTGGATCCGGGATCGGCCTTACTGTTTGGAGCCAGCAAGCCTCATTGCCCAATCGAAACGTGCCACCCACCAGCCTAACGCCACAACTTGGCGCCGCAAGCCGTGGGGGGGGGGGGAGTATCGGAGCTAGTGGGTGCCGCACTGGTATGGTCACCGCCGCAGGATGGCGTGAGCCTCCCTCGCCTTGGGAAACCCCCGCCTGGCCCACAGCCCCTCCCTGGGAACCCTTCGCCTGCCTCGGCGGGTGAGGGTCCCTCATGGTTAGACTGAAGGTCGGGCGCGCGAAGTTCCCTCACTGCAGGGGAGAGGCCCTTGCGCCATCCCGTTTGGGCGAGAGCGGCCACTTCGAGATTGTCTCAACGCCTTGCCACTGGTGACAGTTCTTCAACCTACCACACTCCTCCCTCCTCCGCCCCCGACGTTGTTGATGCTCGTGAGCCTTCCCCTACCTATCTGCGCCCCCCAGAGCGCAGGGGGACGTAGCTACCCCTCCCATGGGGGGGCCTGTTGTCGCGTCATTCCCCCCTTTGTTTTACAGCTAGCTTGGTTTGATCAACGCCCCAGGGGCAATCGCCCCTGGGGAGGGGATAGCTGCGTCTGACAGACACAATAGCCAACAGCTCACAGGAGGAGGAGGAGGAGGAGGAGGAGGAGGAGGAGGGGAATATGGAGAATGAGGAGGACGCGGAGGAGAATGAGTAGGAGACAGGAGACAGGAGTAGGAGACAGGAGGAGGAGGAGGAGGAGGAAAGCCAGCCTCCGCGCCAGCTCCGCGCGCCGGCCGCGGAGGTGCAGCGGGGCCAGCTGCAGCCGGGCTCCGACGCCAGGCTCGCGCGGCCCCTGCCTGGGTTGCTGCACAAACTCATCGCATTCCGATCCTCGCCCACGGCAGAGCCGGGCGGCGGCCCGGCCGGCGCTTGCTGCGCCCTCTAGCACGGGCGGCGTCGGTTGGCCACCTCACCGATCTTGGTCGGGGCCGTCGTGGGACCATGGACCGGTGACTGGGCCCTTGCTGCGTTGGCCAGGGGGGCGGGCCTCGAGGTTCGAGGGTCGAGGGCCGAGGTCCGAGGTCCAAGGTTCGCAGATCGGTGCGGGGGGGAGGGGGGCGTGGTCGCTGATCCGAGGTCACGGGCCCGGGATCGGCGAGGCGTTCACTTGACGTCCCCCGACGAGCGGCGGCCACCTCTCGCGCGGGCGCGGTTCGACAAGACCGCGGCGGCCGCCGCCAACGCGGGAGGAAAAAGGGCGAGAGCGGGCGCGCGGTAATCGCCAGCGCTCGTTACCGAGAGGAGGCAAAGGCGGGGGGTGGATGGGAGAGTCGTGGGCGTCCATGAGGAGGGGGATGACAGGAGGGGGGGATATCATGGCGAGGGGCATGATGTCTGCCCAGATCCCATACGTCCCCAGGTCCCCAACTCGTCCGCGCACATGCCTCGGGCCATGCTTTGCGACCCCCCCTCTTGGACGCCCCCAGTCGAGGCGTGGCGGGAGTCGGCCGTCCACGTCTCCACTTGGGCGGCCTTGCGCGTCGGGGGCCCCACGGAAGCGCGCTCGGTTCGCCAAGGCAAACGGATAAATTTGCGCGGGCACCTTTGCGGAGCATTTCCACCCCCTCCTCCTCCTCCTCCTCCTCCCCCTCCTCCTCTTCGGTCGGTCGGTCGGTTATACGGGCATGAAGGGCGATGCCCATATAAAAGATAGGTGGCGAGGAAAAGGGTGGAGCAGTCCAGCAAACGAGAACTAAAAAACACGCGAGCCGCCCTCCGTCGCCCCACCGCGGGGGCAGGCGTGAGAAGGGCAAACGTCCCCAGCAATCGAAAGATGCGAGTCGCGCACCAAGGTGGGAATGCTGTCACGTCAGTCGACGTGAGTAGGAGTCGAATTGCCTAACGAGAGACACGAAAAGACAGCAGGGACGATAGCAAACCACAAGGAATGGGGGAAGAAAGGATGACATCCAGGCAACCCCTCCCCCTACCTGTGGAAGGTGGTCAGCTCCTGAGCGACCCTAGTCTCCAAATCCCTCGCGTGAATCGCCAAAATCCCGAGCCTCACGCGACCTGCTTCAGGGGGTCCTGGGGCCAAGAAAGTAGAGACACTCACCTCCTGCGCGAGGGGAAGGTTGGGGGGGGAGACTCCACCCCGAGACATGTCCAGCGAGCGAGGGGGAAGGGTGCATCCAGACGGCGGAGATCCCGCAGGTCCAAGCAACACGAACGAGCGCCGCCACAGCCAGGAGGTTCGCAATGTCGCTCTGAACCCCGGCCCAACGTTTTTCACCCAAGACGCCAAGCGCCCCCAAGGCGCAGAGGGGGGCCTGCAAGAGCCCTAGAACTAGAAAGACAGTGGAGCCAAAAAGAGGGGAGCGAGGGGGCACAAATGAGCGCGGCAACCTTGCCCTGTTGAACCGAATTTTGCCAGAATCTAAGCTAACGTGATCAATTGCGCTGGTCAACCCTCACACGAGCGACAGGGATAGCCCCTTCAGCGCCGAGCCTTCTCCATCCCTGCAAGAGGCCACAAACGCAGTCTGAGTCTTTGACAACAACAAAACTCTCTGTTGACAAATGGCATGGGAGGCGGGCAGAGAGGGGGGGGCCCAAAGAGGCGCGGGGTCGACAACAACAGGGGAAAGCACGAACGGGGTCCACTTAAGAACGATGGGCGGGCCATGGACCCTCACAGGCGCGCATCTAGCAAAGTTATCCGGCAACCCCTTAGCCCGATTAGCTTTGTGCGTCAAACGCGCCTCGCCCCCAGCCTCATCAATCTCCTGAGCGGCAGGTCTGGAAGGACGAGCCACGAGCTAAGAAAGCAGGCAGGCTTTGGCCGAGGCGAAATGCTTAGCAAGCCTGGCACTGCCTTCGAAATCTCCCACGCACACGTTGCACACGGATCCAACGGCCAAATCATAATGAGTGTTGCCATGTTTATGGAGTTTGGTGATGCGACCTCTCATGAGCCGAGCACAAGGTGCCGCATGCCCACAATCGCGACGCAGAAAGGCGGGGCAGGAAGCGGGGGGGGTCTCCAGCGGAGTGCCCAAGGACAGTTTCTTAAGGTTGTTATGACCAATATGGACATGACTGGAAATAAGCGATATACGCTTGGCCCTCTGAATCACCAGTCTTATCAATTGAGAGCACCTGCGAGGGTGATCATGTGCAAACGGAACCCTAGCGCACAGCGAATCGGTCTGAAATGGGGGGCGCTCGCTATCACCTAAGAACGAGGTCGCCCATTCAAAGCTGTCTCTGAGGAGAGGCCCCCACCCAGAATCAAAGTGGACATTGACGTCCAATAAGATACGGAGGTAACGAGGGGAAAACTTGAACAGGCGGGGGAGTTAGCGCAGCCTGCCAATGTGCACAATTTCCGCAATGCCCATCCTGCCCGCAGTGGCAAGGATGTCCTTGTAAGAGCGTTGGGGATCTTCAGCGTTGTTACGAAACGGAAGGCATTGAGCATTGCGATATATGGCTTCATGAGCAAGTCTTAGCTTATTGGCCAGCGAGGTGGTGAGGGGGGGCCACGTCGCGACGGCATAAAGCAGCCCGGAGGCCCCGAGGGCCTCGGCGTAAAGGGTTTTGTAGACCAGAGGATAGGCCGCACGGGGGGCGACCGCATTCTTGATGAGCTTGAGAGCCCCAAACGTCGAGGTGCATCTCAGATGCATCGCAGCCCAAAAACCTCCGTTGTCTTGGACCGTGGGACCCAAACATTCATGAGATGTAACCACCTCGATCTCGAATCCCACCTCCTCGGACTTGAGGACAGGAAGCGCGGGGCCAAAGTGCTCAGAACGCAACCCCACCGACCCAGGGACTCTGAAGCAAATCATAGCCTTAGTTTTACCAGCGTTCGGAATCAGACCTCTAGCAAGACAAGCACAGAAGATTTCCTCTGCCGTGGTGGCGAGGACCTGCATGAGATGGCAAGTACGCGCAAAGGAATAACGGACGCGAGATCATCAACGTAGGAGACCGAGGCGTGGGGATGGTTGCGGTCACCTGACGACGCGAAGAGGGCAGGAGCAGGGGGGGCGGGGCTTCCACGCCAGCTGCTGCCTGGCAAGAGACCTCTCGATGTCAGCCTGGATGCCAGATAAAATCGCGTTAAAAACGTCAGAAGCCAGAACGGTTCCAGGTCTGGCGCCCGAACCAGGGAGGGAATTAGCTTCGGGGACCTTCCAGAAGGAGCCTCTCTGTGAATCCTTAAGGGGAGCCGAAACAGCGGGTACATCCACGGCGCGATTGAAAACACCAGGCTGATTCAGCGCGTCCCTGGTTCTTGTCATGAGAATTTCGGGAATGGGCAGCTCCAAAAGCACACGTTGCAAAAGCTCTTCGTCGCAGGGAAGCCAGAGGGCGATCTGCTTAATAGTGGCATACAAAAGCAGAGTATAAGTCCAGGAAGACAAAACCCGCACCGAACTCAAGCCTATCCGCAGCAGAGGAGAAGGCACGGATAAAGTGAATATAGCATTCTCACAGGAGCGGCCTGGCAGGTTCCCACACTGCATGAGCAGCATGCATTGTTCAAAGAACCCCCAAGCAAGAGAACATATGTGATTGTGATAAAGCTTGCCTTTAATGGCCCATAACATTAGCCGTGAGAATATTCCGTGGGTTTGCTTTGGCAGAAATCGCCCCCTTCCCCTTTCCGGAAGTAGGCCACCAGGCCAGCTTCGAAAGAGATCGGTTGTTTGTCAGCAACGGTGTTTTTGGTAAAGACGGGGAGCAAAATTTAGGCCATCTCAGAAGGAGCAATGCGCTCCAGGTCCGCCCTAACTCCGTCGGGCCCAGGTTCCCTTACAGGCAACGCTTTCCGAAGATAGCGTTCGAGGTGGTACCCGGTGGTCAGAGCAGCGCCAGGGATAGCAGAGTAGGCAGCACGCCCCGCACCGTCGCCAGGCATATTCGCCCCGCCCGACTTGGGAATGGGGGAGACGTTGATATGATGATCCACGATGGGCTGAGCGCACAAGGGCTTGGAACGTTCAACCTTACCGAAATGCAAACGCATGTGATCCGCAACCTGAGCATTGGCGGCCACGGCTATACCATCGTCGTCGCACATGTAGGCCTCAACCCTAGCACACCTGGCGGGTCTACCCCCAAAGCGAAGTAAGGCATTGAGCGACTGCCACTCAGCGCACGCCTGCCTCCCGTCAATCGAGACTTTGACCGAGCTGGCGACATCATCCAGAAATCGCGTTCTATCTTCCTCTAGCAAATGGCGGATGCGAACCTCAGACTTGGCCAGGAAATCCACCATGCCATAAATGAGCTGGAAAACAGGCGCGCGAGACTTGCTGGCCGAACCAAGGGCGGCCCCCAGGCAGCCCCAGAGGTCCCACCACCTCAAAGGAGGGCAGCTGCAAGCCTCCTCAGCAAGATCCCCATGTAAGCACCGGGAGACACAGCTCTGGATGACGGTGAGCTCGCCCAAGCCTTCACCCCCACTGCATTTCCTGGGGATCTTCTGCGTGCCACGCCAGCAGCGTCTGCTAGTGAATGTAAGAATTGCGAGCTCTAATCGCCGAGACTTTGACAGTCTGGGGCGCGGCAGACTGCAAATCACGGATGACCTGCGAAACATGGTCATTAAGGGGAACGGACCACGGAACGGGAGGGGGATTCTTGATTTGCGACTTAAATTTCTCAACGGCCTCAGGGTCCCGAAATTTGTTGCGGGCGATGGGGGGAGTCGCATTTTTCTTACGCCTGGGGGCACATGACCACGACAACGTAGCAGAGAGATGCAGATGGTCGGTGGATGCGGCGAGGTCATCGTGGGAGTGGTCCACTGCGACATTAGGAGCAAGAGGGAGCATGTCGGAGTCAATAATGATGTAGTCACTTCTATGCTTGATACCATCTCGCGTAAGCAAGCAAGAAGTCATACACCCGGAGGTGCGTAGGACACAAATGTGGAAAAAAATTGGAAAAGCGATCATCAGCATTATACAGATCATGCTGCACTACAGCTGCAAATCTGCCGTGCGCACGAAATGCCGCCAAGAGGCCTCAT